CAAAAATACAGTAAAACAGTGTTGTGCTGCTCCAAAAAAAAAAATCTCAAAATAACTGAAAATCCATGTGAAGAACTAAATGAAAAAAAAATCAAACAAAAAAAAAAAACCTCTGTGAGAAATTGTAACCAGCAAGTGAAACTAAATACAAAAGTAAACACCTGGCAGAGCTCCTCTAAAAATGACCTTATATATGTGAAGCAAAGTGATCAGGGGCAGACTGACCATTTGGAAACTCGGGCACTGCCCAAGGGCCCGGCGTCAGTAGGGGGCCCCATGAGCTGTCCTACAAGCTAGAACCCCGGTGTTAATCACTCTTCCACTGTCCACACACCCCCACACCAGACACACCACAAACGGTAGCTTGCCACCACCCAACAGTTTATCCGTAGAATGGTCTGCTGGGACACCACACACCCACAGATCTCCTTCTGGCAGACCTGTCATCCTTACAATCTGCATGCAACCTGCCAACACGCAGTGCAATTAACTTGACCGAGCATATAAAGGCACTAAAAAAATACAATACAATCTAATCTCTCCGGAGATATGATCCCGCTTAGGTACCCCAGAAGTCACTTATTAATTTTATGATTTAATATCCCAAAGTGGGCAGTGCATAAAATATGTACAAAGTATAAAGAGGTACAAAAAATACAATAAGACACACAATTGGCTATTCACTATAAAATAAAAGGGAAATAAAACAGAAATAAAACTTTTACCAAGATTTATCCTGCGACTGGAGCAAGTCAGAGAAAGTCCGCGATCCGTCAGTCAATAGGACGGGCTCCGTACGAATCACAACGTCCATACCCCAGGGTCTTCTATTTTTGGGAATATGGACGTGGGCTGGACATTAATCCTTGGCCAATTGACTCTGGGGAGTGTTCCTGTACCAGCCCACAGGACACTCTGAGTCCTGAAATGCCCAAAGTCGATTGGACCAGGAACGGTTTGAATCACCAAGTCAGGGATTAAATTTCCGACACCAGTGCATCAGTCCAGTCGTGACAGTACCAATCACTGTTCAGCTGTTGCCATCAGGCGCAATATAACTATTTTCTGCCTTTCTCTGGGACCCCACATAGGCCACAAATACGGTTTTACATGCAGATGTAGCCTACAGAGTGTCCAATCAGAAGGAAGTATTTTCATCTCTCTGCAACTAATATTTTAGCTTTTATGAGAGATGAAACATATTCCTTTGATCTACTGATATAATTTGTAGAGACAGATCGGAACACCCCTGGTGTCATGAGTTCCTCTTTTAAACTTCAGGAAGGTGGCAAAGTCTGATTATATGTATATAGACAAATCTTATTGGCACTTAGGTGTCAGTTCCAGCCTGGAAGCTGCTCTGTCTTTTCAGATGCTAATGGCTGAGCACATGTTTTTGAATACCTATGACTGAATATTTCTTTAATAACAAGGAATGAAACTAAATTTACAATTACATATTGCTACTGATCACATCTCAGTCCAATCACTTGAATCCCACATCTACGTTACAGCCAGTACTTGCTAAGAGAGGTGGAATGCAGCATGGAGGTCCACCCTAAGAGGGACCTTGAGGGAGTGTAAACATAGGACTGTCCCTGACAGGAGTGTCCCTGACACTAACCACTTCGCACATGCAAGCCAAAACCTGGGGCAAAGACTTAAAAAGGCTCTGCTTAACTTAAGATGGTTGCCAGAGTCAACTGGAAACAGCGTAACCAACCATAATACTGTTCCAGGTGACCAAGAAAACCACAGAGAAACAAGGTGTCTCCTGACTTCCTCTCCAACTGTAGTACCACTCCGGTAGAGCGCCACCTACAGTGGAGAAAACAGAGTGCACCTGCCTACATGGGCATACAGCCATTCACATCTGTATGCTCCACCTGTGACTCCTCAGCAGCAAAAAAAATCACAGTATTTTTAATTATGCTAGGCATATTTTATGCTTACATATGGCTGTGAACATGTACCCTAATTTACACATACTTCTGTTACGATCAATGACACATATTGTCACAGCTGAGACTGCTAGCTGCTATAGTGAGAGTTATCAACATCTTGCCATGGAGCCCATGAATCATAAGCTTGGAGAAAGTTTATTATTTTGGGTAAAGCATTGGGCTATAAATAAGGCCCTGAATTTACAAGGCATGGCCAATCCCGAACTGGCTTCAACCAGTCATCAACCAACAGGTCAGAACCTTCCTGGGCATAATGGGATTCTATCAAAGATGTTATTGAATTTTGCTGAGACAGCAGCACCTTCAACTGATTTAAAAAATGGGAGGAACTCCAAAGTAGTCAAGTGGAGCTCTGATGCTAAAGGTTTTAAAAAGATAGCTTTGTCACGATCGCAGCGTCAGACCCCAGACCTTCTCACCAAACTCGTGACCGAAGGACTAGCCGATCTAAAACCGCGATGTCATGTGCATAACAATGCCACAACCAGCTGCACCCTGCACAATGTTTTTCCAGCTAATTGGACCACAATCGATGTACCGGCAGCCTGAGAGATTGTTACTGGGTCAGCTTAATTACGCTATTAACCCTTCACACTGCCACCACCTCCTTTTTGTACAGAGAAAGAGGAAACTCTGCAATATCAGCTAAAACACTATAATGATGTATATAATGAAATAATCGTCTGCATAATACGGTCACCACAGGCCGATATGCAGAGGGTTAAACACACACAGTGGCGTCTCTTTAGAGGCAGGAATTCGTAAATTGCAATACAGAGCTATAGAAACAGTTCAACACTTTCAGAAGGAAAGATTTATTACTAAAAAGGTCAAAGGGGTGCAATAAAAATATTTACAGAAATAGATGTAACTAAGATATATATATAAACATACAGAGACCAACAGCACAGCAAAGAGATATCAGAGAGAGGTGAAAGGGTTTAAGTACTTGCCAAAGTCCTGGGTTAGCAGATCCAAGTTTCAGAGCAAAAGGGCACGGGTCTCCCCAGGTGGTATTGATGTTAAAATGGGAGACGTCTTCAACTCACACTCTTAGGCCTGACAGCTTATTTTGTATCCCCAGCAGGGGGTGTCTCTGAAGTCAAGGACCAATACCCAGTTTAGGGCGTGTAGGTATGGGTGGATACCTCAACTAGAGCCAAAATCTCCCATAACTCATATTTTGGCTCATAACTTTCCAGCTGCACAAGTGACATTCTACCCGCGGGTAGATTATGATGCAGACACGTCTGAGGATTGATTAGATATGAATTATGAAATTATACACTGTACGGTTCACGAGATCTACTTTTCTGTTTTCCTATGTATCCAAGACAATGCGAGTGACCTATCAAACTGTTCGCCTGCTCATTGCCCATCTGACGATATGCCTGGTTTTTATGTAAGTCTCTCATATTCAACGATATCAGACATAGGGGAAAGATGGATTTTAACAAAGGTTATCTGATTCTGTCACCTACGCTGAGTTAGGTTTATTAGGTTCGAATCTCTTTCAACTCCTGGGAAAGCTTGCATTATCTCTTCCGATGTGTTACAATTTGCAGGTTCTTTGGACAGGGAGGCCCTGGCTCTCTTGGGGGGGCTTTATAGCTCCTATGACCCTCCTGTGACATTCCTAACTCACACACATCTAGCCAAATGTCGCTGGGCCTCTCCGATAGGGAGGGGGGGAAGAATGAGGGAGAAATATGAAGATTCTTAAAATGGAGGCGTCAGTCTCTGGGTATACGCTTGTTACAAGCTTTGACGTGGAACCAGGAGTCATTTTATCACAAGTGGTCAGCAGAGAACAAGCAGTGGTCTATCAGAGCTGAAAGCTGACACATGCAGAAAAAAAATATATTACTGTAAGAGAGCCTAATATAGAAAAGAAGACTGGAATTTTTATGGAACTCTATTGTAGTTTGGCTCATTGTGGACATCTTCTCTCCATTTGGATTGCACAACCCATGGAAAGAAATGCCAGTAGCCCAGTAGTTCCTTATGCTGCAAAGTTTCAGTTTCATTGTGGAACACTGGGCTTACAGAAAACAAAGGCCAATGCTGAATCTCCTTCTTGAACCCACTACATGGTAGCAGTCTATATCCATACCTGTAGGTATGAACAGGGTGCTGTATTTTAAACTAAATCACAAAACACGCAGTGGTAGTCATGGACAGGGAGTATCTTGCTGTCAAACTGCAGTGTTGATGCAGATAAAATGCTCCACAGGGAAACAGACAGGCAAGAGAGTCGAGCCTTGTGTCAGTAGGGCTCTGCAGTCTAGCCTCCATTGCCACCACTGCTCCACATTTTTGCACATACAGTAATTAAAAGTCCAAAGTAATAAATAAATGTGGGGCTCTCAGTATGTTGGGGTGTATTGCTGAGGTTGATAATGGACTGTGTTTTTGTTTGACTATCCACATGAGGAACTTTATGCTACCCTTTCAAAGAATAAACATGGGAAAGGTAAAATAAATGCATCTGGAGACTTACCATTGGGTTACCGACTTCAAAGTCTGCTGAAAATGTGCTTAGTTTGATATACTGAGATCTCTGCATTTTCTCCTTGCCATTTGATACTAACCTTTCACAGGGAGCACAATTGGGGTAGACTGGAGCTCTAATCTGGCTCTAACTGCCATAAAATCTTCTCATAATATCTTTTTATTTAGTCATGCCAATTATGTAATATATTAAATCATGCCAGTAGCTCCATAGACCAGATGGCTAGCTACTTCTGATCACACAACTTTGTGAAAAATCCCCAGAATATCCTTCCACTGAGAGTAAGGGAATTGATTCTGAGTTTGCAGCTGTGAGGCGTTAAGGAAACATTTTGTCAGGGGTCTGCAAAGAAATAAAATTAAAACCAAGAATTAGGATCTGCCAACATTGTGAATCTTCAAAGCATATGCTGTATTAATGGGCATAGGAAAATGTTGGTTTAACGGTGTAATTTGCTTAATTTACCCCATATACCGTATTTTTCGCTCCATAAGATGCACCTGACCATGAGACGCGCCTAGGTTTTAGAGGAGAAAAACAAGAAAAAAAAATATTCTAAACCAATGGACTACAGACATAGTACAGGAAATAACCAGAGACTACAGACATAGTACAGGAGATGACCAGAGACTTTGGACATAGTACAGGAGATGACCAGAGACTGCAGACATACTACAGGAGATGACCAGGGACTGCAGACATGCTACAGGAGATGACCAGAGACTGCGGACATACTACAGGAGATGACCAAACACTGCAGACATACTACAGGAGATGACCAGAGACTGCAGACACAGTACAGGAGATGACCAGAGACTGCGGACACAGTACAGGAGATGACCAGAGACTGCAGACACAGTACAGGACATGGCCAGAGACTGCAGACACAGTACAGGACATGGCCAGAGACTGCAGACACAGTACAGGACATGGCCAGAGACTGCAGACACAGTACAGGACATGGCCAGAGACTGCAGACACAGTACAGGACATGGCCAGAGACTGCAGACACAGTACAGGGGATGACCAGAGACTGCGGACACAGTACAGGGGATGACCAGAGACTGTGGACACAGTACAGGGGATGACCAGAGACTGCAGACAGTACAGGGGATGACCAGAGACTGCAGACAGTACAGCGAATGACCAGAGACTGCAGACAGTACAGGGGATGACCAAAAGACTGCAGACCTTTCGGAAGGGAGGAGGAGCGGGTACCTGAATTTGACAGTTGTCCACCCTATAGTGTGGGCACCCGGCTGTGAAAGCCGGGTGCCCACTGCGCATGTGTGAGTAGCGCTGCGCTTTGTGAATGGCGTCTTCTGGGATCTGTCATGTGTCCCAGAAGATACCGGACCATTCACAAAGTGCAGCGCTTCTTGTGCATGCGCAGTGGGCACCCGGTTGTCACAGCCGGGTGCTCACACTAAAGATGCCAGTGCGGGAAGATTGTACAGTGCTGGACTGAGGAACAGGTAAGATCCTGCAACAGAGAAGAGCTGAGCAGCCGGCCCGCTATGGTGACACGGTGGCGGCGGCAGAAATACCGAACCGGCCGCTCCATATTCACTCCAATTGGGGGGAAAAAAGTGCGTCTTATGGAGCAAAAAATATGGTAGATGTTGTCCTGGCTCTTTCGCATGCCTTAACTACTTGAGCCCCAGCCACTGCATTAAAACGTTTGCAGGGCGGCACGGCTGCGCAAAACCACATTTTAAAACTTGGTTTTGCAAAACAGGTAGGGGGCGCGTGCCCAGCCTACCTGTCCCGCAGGTGTCAGCAGCAGGTCTCAGCCGCCGGGTCATGGTCGGTCATTACCGGCCGTTTCCCGGCGATTAGCGGCAATCGCTGACAGAGAGCAGGGCTGCATTGTTTACACACAGCCCTGCTCTCTGTCAGTTGCCTGTCAGCTCCTGACAAGCTGAACCGGAGGGAAGAGTTTATCTCTCCGGATCAGCCTGTCCCTGTCCAGCACACACCCCCCCGCCCCCTAGTAAAACAGTCCCCTGACAAAGTTAACCCTTTCAGTGAATAAAAATTTTAACTCCTGCCATTAGTACAGTGTCAGTGGGTTTTTTTTCACTGATCACTGTATTGGTGTCACTGGGGATGTCAGTGACCCAAAGTCATTTCCCCCCCAGTGTCAAAATGTCCGCCGCAGTCCTGCCATATGTCGCTGATCACTGCCATATGTCGCTGATCACCGCCATTATTAGTATAAAACAAAATGAAAAATCCCAGTATCTTTCGCGCCATTTGTAAACGCTATAAACTTTCATGTAAACCAATTAATTTACACGTATTGGGATTTTTTTTTTAGCAAAGACATGTCGCAGAATGCATTTTGGACAAAATTTGTGACAAAATTTGATTTTTTTAAGTTTTTTTTTTTTTCTCAAAATTGTCAGCTTTTTTTTATAGCGCAAAAAGTTAAAAAGTGCACAGGCGATCAAATACCACCAAAAGAAAGCTCAATTTGTGGGAAAAAAAGGATCTAAATTTAATTTGGGTGCAGTGTTGCATGACCGCGCAATTGTCAGTTAAAGTAACGCAGCGCCGTAACACAAACCTCTTCTGTAACCGCTTGCTGACCACCCTACAGCAGAAATACTGCTACAGGGCGGCATGGGTATGCAAAATCACATATATACAGTCAGGTCCATAAATATTGGGACATCGACACAATTCCAACATTTTTGGCTCTATATACCACCACAATGGATTTGAAATGAAACAAACAAGATGTGCTTTAACTGCAGACTGTCAGCTTTAACTTGAGGGTATTTACATCCAAATCAGGTGAACGGTGTAGGAATTACAACAGTTTTGCATATGTGCCTCTCACTTGTTAAGCGACCAAAAGTAATGGGACAGAATAATAATCATAAATCAAACTTTCACTTTTTAATACTTGGTTGCAAATCCTTTGCAGTCAATTACAGCCTGAAGTCTGGAACGCATAGACATCAGCAGACGCTGGGTTTCATCCCTGGTGATGCTCTGCCAGGCCTCTACTGCAACTGTCTTCAGTTCCTGCTTGTTCTTGGGAAATTTTCCCTTCAGTTTTGTCTTCAGCAAGTGAAATGCATGCTCAATCGGATTCAGGTCAGGTGATTGACTTGACCATTGCATAACATTCCACTTCTTTCCCTTAAAAAACTCTTTGGTTGCTTTTGCAGTATGCTTTGGTTCATTGTCCATCTGCACTGTGAAGCGGCGTCCAAGGAGTTCTGAAGCATTTGGCTGAATATGAGCAGATAATATTGCCCAAAACACTTCAGAATTCATCCTGCTGCTTTTGTCAGCAGTCACATCATCAATAAATACAAGAGAACCAGTTCCATTGGAAGCCATACATGCCCACGCCATGACACTACCACCATGCTTCACTGATGAGGTGGTATGCTTAGGATCATGAGCAGTTCCTTTCCTTCTCCATACTCTTCTCTTCCCATCACTCTGGTACAAGTTGATCTTGGTCTCATCTGTCCATAGGATGTTGTTCCAGAACTGTGAAGGCTTTTTTAGATGTTGTTTGGCAAACTCTAATCTGGCCTTCCTGTTTGAGGATCACCAATGGTTTACATCTTGTGGTGAACCCTCTGTATTCACTCTGGTGAAGTCTTCTCTTGATTGTTGACTTTGACACACATACACCTACCTCCTGGAGAGTGTTCTTGATCTGGCCAACTGTTGTGAAGGGTGTTTTCTTCACCAGGGAAAGAATTCTTCGGTCATCCACCACAGTTGTTTTCTGTGGTCTTCCGGGTCTTTTGGTGTTGCTGAGCTCACCGGTGCGTTCCTTCTTTTTAAGAATGTTCCAAACAGTTGTTTTGGCCACGCCTAATGTTTTTGCTATCTCTCTGATGGGTTTGTTTTGTTTTTTCAGCCTAATGATGGCTTGCTTCACTGATAGTGACAGCTCTTTGGATCTCATCTTGAGAGTTGACAGCAACAGATTCCAAATGCAAATAGCACACTTGAAATGAACTCTGGACCTTTTATCTGCTCATTGTAATTGGGATAATGAGGGAATACCACACACCTAGCCATGGAACAGCTGAGAAGCCAATTGTCCCATTACTTTTGGTCCTTTAACAAGTGGGAGGCACATATGCAAACTGTTGTAATTCCTACAACCGTTCACCTGATTTGGATGTAAATACCCTCAAGTTAAAGCTGACAGTCTGCAGTGAAAGCACATCATATTTGTTTAATTTCAAATCCATTGTGGTGGTGTACAGAGCCACAAATGTTAGAATTGTGTCGATGTCCCAATATTTATGGACCTGACTGTATATACGTGATTCGCGCTCCCACCGTGGTTTTCACACCCCTCCCAGATAGCGTCAGATTGCCCGTCAGTACACCAGTCATCACATTTAACCCCTTGATTGCCAGGAACACGTTCATGTTCAATAATCCTCCATTGCTAGTATAGCGTCTGAACTAGTCAATATCTTTGATCAGGTCAGCACTATACCAGCGTTCACATTAATATAGCGTCCCCAAAAACGCAGTGTTAGCGGGATCAGCCCTGGCACCTGCCAGCACCTGCGTTTAGCCCCTACGCTTACCCCCCCCTTCTCCCCCAGCAAGTGCAGTGTCAGTAGGTCACTGTCACTTGATACATTGCACACAAAACCGCAGTGTACGCAGAATCGTCTTCGTCTGAAGTCCGGAAGTGACGAAACGCGTTAGTGGAGTGATGTCAAGACGCACGTACGTAGACCGGAAGTGTCGCCGTGGCCTTTTGTTGGTTTTCAACACATGGTTTTCTATGGTGTTTGTTTGGAAAAGCTTGAAACCATGTCTGGAGCTGATAATTTTAAATCTTAATGTAAGTGATGAATAAAAAGTTATCCCTATGCTTGGAATACTAGTCCTGAGACCCTTCTTATCTCTCTGAGGACCTTGGAAAAAACTTCTTGGAAGATAATGTGGAGGAATAATTTTCCATAGTATTGTTTGAGCATTTCAATACTCATAGAGGGTAATAGTATTTAGTACTACTGTGTGTTGGTTGATGGTAGACACTGAATTGCAGTGACCACAGAGTGCTCACAGTTTGATGTGTGTGATTATATGCACTATAAGAAAATAATTTGGATTTTTTTTTTTTTTTTTCTCTTTGCACAAAAGGTTTTTTTGAAGTGTATTTTGGTTGCACTTGGTGATTATTGTTATTATTATTATTGAGGTAATGCACTAGATATTATTATATTTTTTATTTCGAGGTGCGTTTTGGATGAAATAGCAGCCAATCCTTTCAGTGGATGAAAAGAGTGAATAAGTTTGGGATATTTGTGGACACTATTTTGGACTTTCTTTTTGGACACTTTTTTGATTAGTGGGACTTTGTTGCACATTATATGTTTAAAATCAATGTATTTATTTATTTTATTTATTTTTGTAATTCACAAAAAGGTTGTATATGTATTATTGCACTTTCTAGGGAGAAAGTATTGACTTTTTGAGGGTTTAAAAAGGATAAGGGTATACATTGATTGAATGTTGAATCAATAGAATTTATTTTTTTACCACAAGTTTTTGGAAAATGACAAAAAAAAATTTTTTTTTTTTACACAAAATTGTCACTTAAATGGTTTACTGCTCACACATGCCATGGGTATATGTGGAATTACTCCCCAAAATACATTTTGCTACTTCTCTCGAGTATGGGGGTACCGCATGTGAGAGACTTTTTGGCAGTCTAGCCAAGTACAGGACCCCAAAATCCAATAAGCAGGCTTTTAAAGGGCTCATTACACTTCCAGACTACCTATCACAGTTTCGGAGGCCCTGAAATGCCAGGATAGCACCTAACCCCCCCCAAATTACCCCTTTTTGGAAAGTAGACGCCCCAAGGAATTTGATAAAAAGCACGGTAAGTATTTTGCAGATCTCATTTGTTGCCACAGGTTTTTGGAAAATGAAGAAAAAAAACAAAAACATATTTTTTCTATTTTTTTTATAAATCAAAACCTTGTGAGAAAAAATGAGATCTGCAAAATACTCGCCATGCCTCTTTTTAAATTTCTTGGGGTATCTACTTTCCAGAAAGGGGTCATTTGGGGGTGTTTGGGGCTATCCTGGCATGTTAGGGCCTTTGAAACTGTGATAGGTAGTGAGGAAGTGTAATGAGGAAGTTACGCACCTTCAGGCTTTCAAAGTGGTCATTGGATTTCAGGCTCCTATATGTGGCTAGGCTCCCAAAAAGTCTCACACGTGTGGTATCCTCATACTCAGTAGAAGTAGCAGAATGTATTTGGGGTGTAATTCCACATATACCCATGGCTTGTGCGAGAAATAAATCATTTAAATGACAACTTCGTGTAAAAAAAAAAAAAACATTTTGGTAATTTTCCAGAAACTTGTGGAAAAAAAATAAATCTTCCATGGATTCAATATGCCTCTCAGCAGATAGCTTAGGGTGTCTAATTTCCGAAAAGGGGTCATTTGAGGGTGTTTGTCCTATCCTGGTATTTTAGC